CCGGGACGGTGCGCGCCCGCACGCCTCCGCCTGAGCTCCTGGCCAGCCCGGTGGAAGGCATCTCTGGGAAGGTTCTTACAGACGCATCTCCTCCGGCGCCTCAAAGCAGCTTCCGTCCTCTTACCGTAATTCAGTAAACGTTTGCCAATATTCCTTTTCACAGGGTCCCAAACTGAACATAATTTGAAGCCGGTTTTCGGTTTTAAAATTATAACCTGGCCCTGGCCAGTTTGGCTTAGAGGATAGAGCGAGGGCCCTGAGGACTGAAGGGATCCCGGGTTCGAATCCGGTCCAGGGCACAGAGAAATAAAACAAAATAAGTTATAATCTGGGCAACAGCTAAACTTTTTTTGGTGGTGGTGGGGCGGGGTGGGGGAGTGTGTGTGTGTGTATACAGTCCGGAAATTTAAAAAGAAAGCAGTGCCCTACAGTCTTGTATCCTTCAATAGTGGAAGAAAGTCATCTTGGCAAAATGGTAAGTGTATTTATATATGTAATTTCTTTATTCTGCATAACTTTACACTGTGTCTGATAAACACGGTAATTTTGCTCCTGCCTGTCTTAAAGACTTTTTAAAATGGATTTACACAAATTATTGCAGTCAATATTTTGAAGTCATATTACTTGTTGAGCCCATGGCTAGGAGTTGGCAAGAGAAAAGGATGAATGATTGTTATGTCTGTCCTTTCAAGTACATTACAAACTTGTGGGAACGATAAGGTAAGTACACTCAGGCTATATTAAAAGAAACCGAATATGATTAAATATCATGAGGGATACAAAGTCCAGTGAGTGTCCTGAAAAGAGAAACAAGCCTGGTGGAGGAGAAGAGGTCATGAGGAAAACCTGTGTAAAGGAGGTGGCAGTTGAAACAGGCACTGAAGGACGTGTGGGATTTCAACCCACAGCATTTACAGCAGGAGCAATAACTAAGGTGAGGAGTCGGGAGATGGTAACAGTAAATGTAAAAGGTAACTTGGTGCCTTTGGGTGGAGCACTCCAGTGGCAGGCTGAGCATCTCCACTGGGTCTTTATTTAGTAAACACTGAGTGAACATGAAAGACTTTGTGGCAGACAAAACTAATCTGGAAGCAGCTTAGAGAGGGTGACACTGAGATACCCAGAGGCCCTGGGGGGCCACTGCAATAGCCCAGGAGGGAACTGACCAGACCCTGGGGCACAGATAGTGGGAAAGGGGAAAGTAAATGGAAAGAAAGCAGGGCTGGGTAGCATTGCTAGGGCAGAATCCAGAGGTCTGGCCCAGTTGGAGGTGAGGAGCCATGAAAGGTCCCGTCAGGCTCTGGTTTGGGGCTGGATGACAGATGAACAAGGATGCCAGCTTCAGATTGCAGGGAAATTAGCAAAAGCAGAATGTTAGGGTTCCAGGAGGAAAGAAGGGACAGAGGGAGGGAGACAGTGAACTTGAGTTGGTACTAGGAATTAATCATGGTATAAGACCCTGGTGGGGTTCCAAAATAAATATTTCCTCCTTTCTCACAAGTGTTGTATTATTCCCAAAACTTCTTGCTGTCTCTCCTTCCCAATTTTTGGATTTTGGTAACTTCAAAACAATCCGATGTAATAAAGAGGTAATATGCAAATTGACCATCACACCCTCACAAGATGGCTGCCTACGACCATGCCATCAGGGGGGTTAGTGAGGGACAACAAAACAACTGAACAAGTAGGCTGCATGGGGTGACCAGGATGGCAGGGGGGTTAGTGAGGGATGACCAAACGACTGAACAAGCAGGCTGTGTGGGGCGACCAGGCCAGCGGGTGGGCTGTGAGGAGCGACCAGGCTGGTGGGGGGAGGAG